CAGCGCGTATCCATATATCCTCGAAAGCTCGGTGGCATATTTGGGTTAAATGCTTCTTCATCTCACGGAGAATGGTTTCGCGGTTTTTGTGGATGGCTGTGAGAGTAAGGTGCACTCCAGTCGTCTGCGTGATCAAAGGTAAGGTAAAGGAGTTGATGTTTTGCCCCGAGTTTGCGACCAATGTTGCAAACTCTTGGCAGGACAAGAAACTCAGACACAACCCGACTTCTTCAGCTACCGCGTTGATGAAAGAGTCGGTACAAGAGATAAGATGTAAGATTAGATTGCTCGCGAGGCCACTTTTCTCGAGAAAAAGGAGAAAGCTCATGACTTGAAAAGATTGGCTAATGTCTCGCCTTAGAGTTAAGACAAGACGGGCGAAAAGAGCTCTGTCAATCTTGTGGAAAGCATTGAACTCTTCTCGCGAAACGAATATTGCAGATGATGAAGAAGCCATTTTACTTCACAAATGGTGATGAAATGAGTTTGTTTGGGTGATAAGTGATGAGAAGGGATAGACATGGTTTTTATAAGGAATCTAGTGAAATTGTGAAATATATCTGGACACAGTTCACTTTCTTTGTTAAGTGACACTATATTCATGAACCAAATGTATATTTTTGGACTTTTCTTTAAATGGCATATATCCATTCCTTTTCCTACTCCCTCACGTTTTAAGTATTCCATGTTCCCAATTTTATTTCCTTCTATGTCTTCTCTTTATAATTGTTTTTGTCATTTCTCTTAACTTAAATAACCTTTAGTTTGCACTATTTTACTACAGATACCATTGACAATAACTCATGCAAAATATACGTGCAATTTTTTAATTAGTGGATTAAATCTTATATTGCCTGACCAATTTGCACTAGAATAGCCAGTTTCCCGTTATATATTACTTTAGATATCATTTCGCTTTCGATGTGGGACTCATAACATTTTCAACTTTTAAGTACCGGGAAAAAAAAAAATTACTCTAGATATCATCTTGCTTCATAACATTTTCAACTGTTAAGTACGGGAAAAAAAGTATAAAAAAATATATTACCTTTGATATCATTTCGTTTTTGATGTGAGATTCATAACATTTTCAACAGTTAAGTACGGAAAAAAATATAAAGAAAATATATTACCTTTGATATCATTTCGTTTTTGATGTGAGATTCATAACATTTTCAACCGGAAAAAAAATATAAAGAAAATATATTATCTTTGATATCATTTCGTTTTTGATGTGAGATTCATAACATTTTCAACAGTTAAGTACGGAAAAAAATATAAAGAAAATATATTACCTTTGATATCATTTCGTTTTTGATGTGAGATTCATAACATTTTCAACTGGAAAAAAATATAAAAAAAATATATTATCTTTGATATCATTTCGTTTTCGATGTAAGAGCACCCTTAACGGTGATCCATTAATGAGTGTCATATTAATTAAAAAATAGAAAATATTCAAAAAAAAGGAGAGAGAATAAAACAGAGAAGAGAGGGAATGAGAGACGGTTCAACTAGCAAACCGTTTCATGGTTTTAAAAACACCCATGTGGTAAAGTGTTTTTATTTGATTGTCTAATATTGATTTTGTAATTTAAAAATTAAATAGCTAAATAAATGATTATAAAAATATTAAATGTGAAGACTTTGTAGAGTGTAACCGATATGGATGCTCATAACATTTTCAACTGTTAAGTACGGGAAAAAAATAAAGAAAATGGTCATACGAGAAAGGAGATCAAAGAAAAGGATATTAGTTGCAATCGCGCATTGGTGATAACTATTAGGCATAGATGAAAGAAACTCCACAACATTCGTATAAAGTCAGAAAATGTCAGCCAAAACATTCTCTTATTCACAGAGAAATGATGTCGTTGGTAGTAGAATAATAAACATCAAATCCATTTTGGTATCATTTACAAAGAAAACGAGCTTCTCATAGTTTATCTATCGATCCCTTCGATCTTGTCTTCCACTTGAGAGTACAACTCTTTGAGCTTCTCGATGTTGTCAGCCGAGGTATCCCAGTAGCCGCGACCATTGGCCTCCAAGAAAGTCTGAATCATTTTCCTGAATGAATTGGGATTAGTGTTCATTAGACGGTTAAGCATCTCCTCGTCTTGGATGAATGTAGAGTTGGCCTCCTCGTAGACCCAATTGTCTACTTGACCGGAGGTTGCACTCCATCCCACGGTATTGGTCAGTCTTTTCTCGATCTCACGAACTCCTTCGTATCCACTTGACATCATCCCTTCGTACCACTTTGGATTCAGCAGCTTTGTTCTTGCGTCCAGCCTCACTGTCTCAGATAGTGTCCTCACCTGCCAAAACCAGAGATACCTTAAGCAATGTGTTCTTATTCTAGCCAAAACCAAACCTAAACTGAACCAAAAAATGCCGAACCAAAACTTAAAAACCATATTCAAACCTAAAACCAAACTAATCTTATCTTAGACAGAACACACCTAATTCTTGCATCCAACCATAGACATTATAATGCATGAGGAAAACAGAGGAGAAGCTTTACTAACCTGTGCATTTGCAGTTGTTGTATCAGCAATGTAAGCGCTCGGTTTCTTCTTGTCTTTCCTCAAACTCTGAACCAAGTTTGTCGGGTCAGAGTCGAAGTAGTGGCTCACATCAGTCAAGGAAATCTCGGAAGAATCCAGGTTTTGGAACGTGACTTCTGCAGTGCTAAGAGCCATCTCAAAGACTTGTTTCTTCTCAGCCATTCCTGCTCCAGGAGCATCACTATCAAACGCAAACGACTTACGGCTCAAGTACATGTCCTGAAGCTGTTTCTCATCGTTCCACGAAGAATTCTCAACAGCAAGATTGATGTTGGATGAGTATGATCCAGAGGCGTTTGAGAAAACTCGTGTCGCTGCCTCTCTAATATCAATGC